TTTTTTTTAACCGTTACCCTTATGTTTATTGTAAAACTAGATAGTTCACTATAATCTCCTTGATCAAATTTTAAAAATCGATTACTGTTGTTAAGGGAAATAAATTGTTTCTAAAGCACATTAAAACCCAACCTTTATTGCTATTTAATATTTTTCTAGGGGTAGCTACCCTGCTTAAGAGTGTACGTAATTTGATTTATTACATTGTTAAAATGTTTCTCCCTTAAAGGCAAAATCGACCTGTTTAAACATGTTCTTCAAAGCTGCGCATTCTTCATAAGACATGAGGATAATTTGAAAAATGCTAATTTTTTATGCAAATTATTAAATTGATAGTATCTCGGAAACTAATCGACGAAATTTTGAAAATCGAGCACTGCTGTTTAGAGAAATAATATGTCTTTCACTTTCATCAAATACGTCATCATTGTGTTGTCAACATCCTCATCCCCAGCACACCCTACTTCAGAATTTTCAATAACACTACTATTATACTTGTGATACATCATTTCGAAGGGTTACATCGGTGTACTGAAATTGAGGATCGATTAAGTATTGTTGAAGTTTCGAAGAAAAATAAGTTGTATCAAGATATTTCCATTTTTCATATACAATGAAGGATAAATCACATTTTCATTTCTTTTCCGTTTCGAGCGTTACCTTGCTGAAAAGGTAAGTTTTAGAAATCAATATTCTTTCAATCAACTATCTCATCATTCATCTATATAATATGAATAACTCAGTGTTGGGATATTTGATTTTATAATTATGGAATTCGTTTGTCAAATAGGTGATGAGTATACGCAAAAAACTTTCTTCGAAACATATCTGTTCCCAAAATGTTATAGTGAAACGATTAACTTGAAAAAAGTTTTGAATAAGAGTTTGAAGCAAAATCAATGGTAAAAAATAAGAGAAGTAGACCAAGGAGAACGTAAAAAGAAAATGTCACTGTGGCGACAGAGCTATCACAAGATAAAAAGACATGGAACTATATTTCTTCAAAATAATCCAGTATTTTGCCTATCTATTTTGCATTTCGAAAAGTTTCCACTATAAGGGAAACTTTTTTATTATCTATTTCTCAGAAAATTTTATTCGTGATAAAAGTTGATGCATTGCGGGAAACTTGGATTTGAGTTGTCGAAACTCTAAATCTCCAAACGGTGTACAGGGGAAAACAAAAAATAGAAATTTAGATCAAGAGTAAATTATTCCTATTTCCAACATTATTGAAAAAGCTTATTTCAAATTTGAAACCAATATTCAGATTTGAAATGAACGCTACCTACGTAACAAAACAAAAAAATCAATGTTTTTATGATTCTAGCCTCATAAAGAGCACTAGTATCTCATATATACGTCAGGCGCCTCCCTCATATCACTATCATGATATTTCAATGCGAAAATTTGTCCAATTTATTACACAGGCCAACGATGAAAAAACTTTTTTACCTAAAACACCTTAATATCCCGTTTTTTAGGGTGTTTACATTTACTGTCCAGAAAAAGGGGAATTATCACAGCTGATGTTTTGTTTACTGTCCACCTAACCTTACATTCTGGTTTCCAATACATGTGCTCATTGAAATATCTAATCGCGGTTGTGAGAACTCTGCTGACAGTTTTTGTAATATTTGTGGTGAGGTTGTTATTAAAAAACATAAATGCAAAAGAACCAGAATATCGTACCATTGTAGCTAACATGTTAAAGAATTTTAAGAAACTAGGATGTTTGATGAGCTTGAAAGTCCACTTATTCAACAGTCATCATGATTACTTCCCGGAAAATTTGGGAGATGTTAGTGAGGAGCAGGGTGAGTGTTTTCACCAAGATATTAAATTGATGGAACAACGTTACCAGGGCCGCTGGAACATCAACATGATGCGAGACTACTGTTGGTCATTTTAGCGTAAGGCTCAACAAGCGACTCATCGCAGCAAAAGCTATTCAAGAAACTTCAAAGAGAAAAGAAGTATAAACCAATTCCATCTGACTAATGAAACCTACATTACAGCACTGTATCATTATTTCAAGTAACCTACTGTGAATAAAAACAACCATGATAGTGATTCAACATAGTGTTTCATTAATTTCACCATATACCGTACAGATTTTAAATTATATAAAAAAGTCAATTTCTCAAAAACTATGGGTGATACAAAAAAACTAAGACCAGATTTGGATTCAGCACACAAAAATCTATAAAAATCAGCTATTAAAGTAAACAAAGTTTCCAAAAACATGTTTTTGTTGGCCTGTGTTATTCGAACTAGTATATCGATGTTTGTTGAAAATGGTTGCATCTACTTATCTTATGAGTAGGTATTATTTGCACCATTTTGCAACATTGTTGCGAAAATAAGATTTGTATGGCAATAATTGATCGAGACATCTACATGTTATATCTATATCGCTGTTACTTTGGGAGAAATAAAGTTTTTTTCATGAGTATGAGTGAAGTTGAAATTATTAAAAAAATGTTGATGAAACGTTCTTGATTAGGAGGCTCAATTGTTTCCATTATGCTTACAAAAACTCCGCAGAAAAGGAGCGCAAAAAAGGAGCAATGCGTGACTCTACATATGAAAATGAATAAAAAATCTCAAATAGCATCACTCAATGTTAAAACTGACACTGCACTTATGATGCACACCAAATCGTTATTTTTAACACCTCGACACGTGTTTCGATCACCAAGTTATCATCTTCAAAGAGGAAGATAAAACTAAGAACTAGTGCGAGCTAAAGGTGCTATAAAGGTGCTATAAAGGTAACTCATATAGGTAAACCATCCAGACATACCAAACAAAATTAATTTTACAATTTTGCCTATCCAAATTTATTTTTGAAATGTGTCCTTATGTAGTAACCAGTAAACCCAACAACATTATTTTATTTTAACAAGCTATATAGTATGCTCTTAGGTATAGGTCCGTCATCGTTATCCATAATATTATTGTGTTTACTTATTTTTACACTATCATAGGCATCTAGTTGCCTATTGTTGTTAACTTGTCTAACTAATCTTAATGAACTGAAGTCTATGGAATGGTTTTGTTGCAAAATATAATGGACGACTGCTGGTTTTTCTGTCTAACTAATCCTAATGAACTGAAGTCTATGGAATGGTTTTGTTGCAAAATATGATGGGCGACTGCTGACTTTTCAGGTCTTCCATATTTTAAGTCTGCTTTGTGTTCCTCATATCTTACTTTCTAGTCCTTAGTTTTAATCTTCCTCTTTGAAGATGATCACTTGGTGATCGAAACACGTGTCGAGGTGTTAAAAATAATGATTTGGTGTTGGGGAAAAAACTCCAGTAATATTCATTGACACTGCACTAATATATGAATCCGAACCGTGTTTCTGAAAGATACTTCAGTTTTGCATCATCGTGTATGGGCTGATATTGTGAAGAGACTTAGAAAAAGAAGTCTGATCATTTAACATTGATCATCGTTGACCCTGATATTTTTCAACTTTGTTATCGCACGAGTAACCAAAAAACAACTATTCAATTGACTTTATTACTTTATTACATTATAATGAATTACTAAAAAATCATATTTAGANAAAACAACTATTCAATTGACTTTATTACTTTATTACATTATAATGAATTACTAAAAAATCATATTTAGACTGGAATTGAAGTCAGTGTTACTTGAATGATGACATTATTATTACGAATTTATTTTTTTTTCAAGAATATTTCTCCTGATTCGATTTTTTCAATATATTAATTTCTAGGACTATGGCGAAAAACTTCTCCCTCTGACCAAAATCTGGCATGACAAGTGCGTCGCTATAACTGGAGCAACCCAGGCTCAAATTGACGAAACGAAAAATGGAAATTTTGAAGGCAAAGAAAATTTGAAGGTGGGTCAAATATTCTGAATGATATAGTATACCTACAAACTAATGAATTGTTGAAGAATATCATTCAGATGAATTGTTAGGGTTTGAAATTTTCGAATGTTTATTAGAGACTCAAGTATATGTTATAGTTTGCAAAGTCCATCTTCAACTTTCCATCTTTTTCCTTTGATGCTGAAACAATATTCACATCTGAATACCTCCAAGTTATGTATTTTCAAATGTACAGTTGTTCTTTTTCGAACTTGGAAATCATTAGCTTTATAAATATTACTGGAATTCTATCCCAACACCAAACCGTTATTTTTAACACCTCGACACGTGTTTTAGTCACCAAGTGGTCATCTTCAAGAGAAAAATTAAACTAAGTCTACATACAATATTGGCCTTATTTATAACAAAGATAGCTCTGCTAGGTATTTGCGTCTTGAATGTTCAAATATTATATAAAATTTATTTGAATTCCCTGAAAGAATCTGTAAAAGAATTAAAAAGATTAGCTGAGAAAACACTTTTTTTAAGCAAAAAACTGAAATTACAATGAAACAGACAAAAAAACGAAAAAAATTAACACGAGCTGAAAAATTTAAAAAATTATTAAGAAGAAATGAAAATTNTTCTTCCAGGGATTTCAAATCAATTTTATATCATATTAGTCCGAACTAATGAAATAATCTTAATGAACTATAATCTATGAAATGGTTTCGTTGCAAAACATGATGGGTGACTGCTGATTTTTCTTGTCTGAGTTTTCCTTGTGTATCATTTTGATATACATTTGATTTGGAAATTCCAAACTTTGCCGAATTCTCGACTTCGTTCTTTGGATTTCCTAAGGAGCTCTGAAGTGTATGACTTGTATGAACCCCCTTATCCTTAGATTCAACCCAGCACGTTTGTGCTGTCCACAGTGATGTGAACTGTCAGGAATATACCTGTGGAAAGCTAGAACACCTTTGGAAAGCTTTCCACATTGACTCCCCAGAGTCCTCAATTTTCAGTTTTTTTGTCATCGAATATCGCAAAAACATTATCCACATACCTCAGTCATATCCTAGGGAAATACTTTGACGTTTCCTTGGTTTCCATTTCCAATTTGCTCATGAACAGGTTAGCCAGGTAGGCGGACAAGGTGTTACCTATAGCCGTTGCATTCTGTTGTTCATAAAAACAACCTTCTTTCTGGAAATGGTTTTGTTTCATACACAGGTTAGTGAGAGTGAATTCATCAATTTCGTTAATATTGAAATTACTTTTCTCTAGTAAACGAAAGTTTACTTTTGAAAGTTTCAAGTTACGTTTTCAATATGAGGGTAAGATAAAATCAAAATAATTTATTCGCACTCGCTACGTAGCAGCCATCCTTAGGATAGATGTACACGTCAATATAATAAAATGTCACAAACACTAATATTTCTAAAGAACAGACAAACATATGTAACCCTCAGACAACAAGTAAATCAAAAATCATCATTCAGGAATTCACTGATGTTGCAGTAGGCTTTTGCACACAGAAATGTTCTTAATTCTTTTTTAAATTTGTTATGGTCCAGTTTTTTGAGATGTTGTGGAAGTTTATTAAATATTCTTATGGGGATCTTTCAAATGTCCTCAGATTATGCTTTTTAACTGAAAGTGCATTTGCGTTTCTTGTAGGATATGAATGGCAATCCGAGTTTTTGTGAATTTATTGATATGTTGCTTTACATATATTGTTAATTTATATAGATGAATACAGGGAAATGTTAGAATATTGTNGTTGGTGTTGTTTTCGATTTTACTCGATACGGAACAAAAACGGCGGCTGGTATCAACATGTAAACATCCATGATACGGTCTCTATGATGCAGCTGGGTCAGTATTGTTGTGAGGCATGTAAAAGACCATACACAAATTTCACGAGAGTGTCAGCATGTATAATATGCAATAATGTCAAACCTGTGACAGAATAACCGTGGACCTATTGGTAAAAAAACAGCCCTTTTCAGGGCTACATTATTCACGCAAACAGTAGTTGTAGTAGTGTTCACAAATTATGTGACAAATGACTACTTTGATTGAAAAGTCGAAGTTGGGAATTTGCTAGTCATTGAATATCTGTGCATATGATGAGTACTACTTTAACTGAAAGTTGAAGTTGGCAATTTGTCAATCATTGAATATATATGCATATAATGATGAGTACTACAGAGTGGGATGATGGTACTTTTACTTGCATTTGTTTGAGACTATAATGTTAACCTAATGTTAATAATGGTATGAACCTGTTTCTATTTGAAAGTATAATGATAGCTCTGAAAGGAGCTGTTTTTGTTTCAGTCTTCAAATGGGAGTAAATCAATGCATAGTAAGTATCAATTAGAGCCATCTGATTCACCGTAGACTTCAGTTTTGAAATTGCATAGAATCCTGAGCTTAATTTCTTGCAAACATGCTGCAGTTGGTCACTCTATGTTGAACACTGATCTAGATAGGCCCCTGAAAATTTTGTATTGGTACAATACTAACAGATATAACTAAAAAACTTCACAGCTGATTCATACACCACCATATGACTTTGCAACCTTCCTTGGAGTTCATTGGTGATGTAGGCTTCTCTGCTGAATTTATGATCAACTTAAGCACTTACCCAATTCTATATTTGCCCCAGCTCACCATAAGAGAAGAGCATACACTCAGTTTTGGAACAGGAAAAGTTGAAATCCATTGTTCCTGACCATTATTGACCACTATTCCAAAGCAAATATTGCATTTTGAAGGGACTGTTCAATGTAGGTTTTTGGTCATGATGTAAAGTGCCAGGTGGAAATGAATAGCTCTTCAGTTTTCTGAGACGAGAGCGCGATTTGACGTTCGATTTTAATTGATAATCAATTGATATTATAAAAAGGAGTCTCCTGATTAATTAGTTTCATTTGGACGCCATCTACAAAATAACAGAAATAAGTTTCCGTGAAAAGTTTCCGTGATAAGATCTGAACAAAACTTCAATACCTTTGCCATCAGAAGATATACAATTGAATGTGAAATTCCAAATAATCAACATTTTTTTCTGTTACAGAGATATGTTGTATGCGTGTGGATTCTCTCGGATGTGGTGAGTAGAATATGTCAATTCAAATTCGACTGAATCAATATTTCTTAATATTTGTTCATTTTGATCAGCACACAAAAATCTNTTCGACTCCCACCATTGGAATATCATTAACTATAGGAGATACGAAGACGGTTGATTTGAAGCAAAGTTGCACATTTGTATGACAAAAAATATCGTTCAGAAAGTTTTTAAATCACGCGTAGATGAATCCTGAAATTTGAAAGCACCACTAAATGTTAGTGTTTTTTAATTTTCCGACATTTCGTCTCTCATCATCAACTTCTATATTTTGTCTTGTGAATGACATATATAGTTTCACATGAAGAAATACATGTAAAGTGAGTTCGAATTATACCAAGGAGATTACGCACAGCGCCATCTGCCCGCGAGTAGATCAAGCAATAATGTCGATAATTCTGTCAAATACAGATCCCGAGATTGAGAGTTACAAACAAACAAACACTTGGATGTAGTTTAAGGGTTAGGTATGTGAAATCTCTAATAGTTGAAACATGTGGATTTACTTGGGTTTCCTTTTGTAGAACATTTATTTCTGTTGAAATTTATATAACACATAATGATTCAACGTTAATTGCACATCATTGATCCACTCTTTTGGAATACATAGATAAATGATCGCATTGCCTTTTTTTTTCATTTGAGAAATTTATTTGAATAGATAATAATCATTTCCTGCATTCTAAAATGTTATTCAATGGTGACTAATTGGAAAATCATCACCGACTAACACAGAAAAATGTTTCCTTTAATAATTCAAAATGATATGTGAAAAAGGGTAACTTGTGATACATCATTGGAAAGGCGCAAAAAATGGGTTTCGAAAACTTAAAATGTCAGATATAACGCTAATCAGAAAATGTTATGGTATGATGGTTGCCAAAAGACGAAACTTCGGATGAAAAAAATCTAAAAAATTAGGGAGAGGATACGTCGTTTCGTCTAACGATTAAAAGTCAATCAATGAACAGATTTAGGATTTTAAAATTGATACAAAATTATGGGAGTATAATGAAATAAATGGTATTGGTATATAATATAATGAATGAGAATTGGTAGAAAGCGTGCACTCTTCAGTAAAGCACCCTTCTTTTTATGAATGATGAACACAGTTTTGTAAGAAGAGAAAGTCCAGTAAACTGTAGAAGCAATTATCGATAATCTTTACAATGAAATAATGGAAAAAAGAGTTGTATAACAATTACTTATTGGATTTCAGGAATGTGTCTCTATATCCATTTTGAGTAGTTTATATTTGGTGAATATCGAAAAATTAATTGAACATGCTCACGACCTTCAGAATGATTCAATTCCAACTATTGAGGTTTACTTCACTTCTAACTTTCTGTAACATAAACTCATTCCAGTGACTTGACTCCGAGGTTCGAAAGACGTGATGTCAATCTTGAGAAAAAAAATTGTTGAGTTCCATACATTATTCATGTACTTGATAAAAAACTCAACCAACAAGTATTATTTGAATCTACGTCTTAGCGAAGGATAATTAATCGGTCGAAATAATATTGTTTGCCATATAATCAGTGGGCATACTTGAAGACTGACTATAAATCAAATCATCTAAAAGAACAATTCGTTCAGGCCCTACATTGTAGGTTGATGGATTGACACCTATTGCGGCAGTTCTGTCGCCAACAGCATATGTAGGAATAACTTCAGTGTGCGCATTTTGCGAATCATTCATTGTATATTTCTGCCGATTGTTTATATATTCTGTATTCGAAAATATTATTACTCCCAACAATATTCTTCTTTTTTCTCAAATAAAACTGAAAAACTCTAAGCACACAATGTACTTTCGAAAAAATAAGTAGAATACAATGTTGAAGAAGGAATCCACGAATATTTTTAGTTCGGAGCTTGATATGCAATATATCCAATACTCACTTCTTGATGAAGTTGAGACGCTGAGTCTCATCTCGACCAAATGTCAGAATTCCAGAGATTGAGGTATCGAATTAATGATAAATCAAAAATTAAACTTTCTATAAATTTCATTAGTTCGGACTTCCATTGTCTAATATATAAAATGATTCGAAATCTCTAGAAGAATCAATAAAATCAAAATAACTGAAATAGTGTAACAGAATAAGTGAAAAACATTTAGAAAGGGGATATCTCATCGAAAAAAGATAGTATCTTTTATACAAACTTCATTGGAGCATCCCTTGTGAGGGGGTACATAAAATTTGTATAACAATTTTTTTCACAAGCACTGAGAAAGTTACAATATTGAAATTAACCTGACGTTTTGTACTACCAAAAAGACACTTGGCCAGTAATTTATTTGGTTTACTCCATGGTTGTAAGGGGTGGAAAACGCAACTTCTAAAATTTATTTTCAATGTAACTTTTTGTCTTATCATTTGTTTACCAATTAAAAATGTATTTCCGATAGCCTGCTTCATTCTGAACAAAAAATGTCTCTTAAGTTTTTTGACCAAAATAAACCAGTTCACAGCAAAAACTTATTTTACGAACAACTACAGAGATACATCGTCATAAATGTGAACTGGATTTATTGTTATTTTGTAGTTGGTATTTCTCTGTTAGGTTATGGGACGACATAGTATTTCTACAATTGTTTGAGTCACAGTCATTTATATTGAAGTCGATATTGTAATCCCCCACAACAATTATTTGTTTATTTATAGAAATATTTCCCAATACTTCATCTATCGCGTTCAAATATGCATTCACCCCAAGACCTAAACTAGATCTATATGTACAAATCACTACCGTCTTCTCTGTAACTAATNGAGGAGTGCCAGAAGATGACAGTACTACCAACTGTCGAAAGCGCTCGCAGATAATTAATAGAAGATATAAAGCTTCAAATCCTTTTTGTAGAATTTTTAATTGAAATATTATTGAAAATTAAAATGGTACACCAATTAACTGAATATGACCCTGATCGAAGAACATAATTCTGCCGAAACCATGCAAGGAATCCTACCTATCTTCACAATATTTGTTTAAGTGACGAATGCCCATTTTTTTGAACAGACAAAATTGCCTTTATTAGAGTGACACCAACCCTCACGTTTTCCGGGACTCACATACCCAATATCCATAAAAAACTAACATTTGGGCATCACTGAAATCGTCGAAGCGAATCCTAATGAATTCGATATGGATATTGTATTCCAGACAAGTGAGAAACTATTTGTATACTACTTTTTCCGGTCGTTGGATTGGCCGTCGAGGACCTACAGAATGGCCAGCCGGCTCGCCATATTTGACACATTTGGACTTTTTTTATGGGACTTCAATAGTGGATATACGGCAGGAAATAATAAATATTTGTAGAGCCGTTACTGTGTTCGAAAGTGAAATATCGGATAGGCTGTTCATATGCCAAGAAGTTCAAGGCAACCATTTAGAGCATCTTCTGAACTGACCTCAAGCTTATACCTCATATTTTGTAGTTAAATGTCAATGTATTCAGTCAATTGATAAAAGATCCGCCATTTTGTAGTAGTTGAACATATTGACAATAAATTCGAGGGTTCCATTTCATTTCTTTCCCAGATGGCGCCCAGTAGCCACTTTGAAAGTTTCATCTGTCAATTTCACTTCAAACTAAAGTGTTCATGCATTAATTTTATTATCCCAAACAATAAAAGAGAAATGCACTGTATATGAAATGAATATAGGATAAAGAAAGAAACTTTTGTCTGATTTCTACTCAGTTTTTTAATTTGTTACTATCCAAGTGAACTTGAGAATGGTTCAACAAATCAAAACTGTTCGTAACAAATGGAAAAACTTAGCAGAAATCAGAAAAAAATTATTCTCCTCATCCTATAATTCAATATGATTTTCTACAATCGAACATCAATCGAACAAATATGTGGGTATAATTGAAAGAGGGAAACAAAAAGACATTCGTTTAATTGAAAGTGGTTCAGTGGTTGACACTGTTTCATCTTTAATTTTATTGGATTGGACTCTCACTGTTCGTATTTTATTCTTAAGACTTTCATTGGTGGAAGCATAATGATAATCATCGTGGACCGAAACAGTTGATCATACATCTATTTTTGCTCAATGCAGGATATACATGGCTTTAACCTCACAGAAAAACTACAGGTCCATATTTGGACAAAAAGTTGAAGGTCGCCATTATCGAAAGAAACGTCTTTGCAAAAATTTCTTGACAACAAATGAAAGGGTGTATGGAAACATAAAAAAAGCTTCTTTCTTTTTTCTATTTTGAAGAAGAAGAGCTCTGAATCTCAAAAACTAAAATCGACAATTTCATTTTCCTCAAATATCTTGATTTTTTTTTCATTTTGATGTCCTGTTCGATTGCCTTTTGAAATTTGTGACTTTTCGTAATCCACCCGACCTTTGAACTTTGAAAGTTTTCGAGATCCTAATGAGGGCCTAATAATGAACAAGCTTGTATATTTTTGTTCTGATGAATTATTCAACCCGATAATTTCATTTAGGATTTCCCGATGGTCTAAACCAATGGTGGTGAAGCTAATGAAAGCGTGTTGATATGAATAAAAAGATCATTATTTTTGCTCCTTATTTGAAATTTGAAAATTCAGATGCACCAAAAAGAAAGCAGTTTCCTTGTAGAAATTTTTTGGAAAAACGTCTATCTTTAATTTTCTTCACAATATCTGGGAGATAGTTGTAAAGTTTTTGAAGGGTCAGTTGGGAGTTCATGAGTTGAACTGATGAAATTTGTTTTGAAAGTATATTCAAAATAAATTCTGGTTACAAAACGGTTTTCTTCATTCCAGTAATGATCCATAAAACATTTTGAATGAACACAAATGTCCAGACTCATAATTAGATCAGAATTCATCGTGAAATCTATACAACTTTCGATTAATATTCTGTAACCATATTTTGTGAAATATTATATCTTTCGAATATTTTCACTCTATTTACCTATCATCAGGTTTTATATTATTAGCTTTATTTTCGTAATCAGTTTTTGTGACAAAAATAATCCATTGAATAGTTTGTGATCTTTTTTTTTTATAATCCTGTGTATATTTTTCCAGCTGAAACTGAACTGTATGAGAAAACCTGGAAATGGATGAAATGTATCTATAATGTTAGCCCTGAAGTAAGTATTAGCATAAGGATTTCCGTGATATATCTGATTGAAGTGAATATTAACACATCGTTATACAGCGCAATTCTTTGATGCCCCCCCTTTTATTTTTTGAACGAGTCAACTCAAAAAGATTGAAATTTGAGATAATGAAACTTTCAAGATGGCGACTGGGCGCCAAATGGGAGAAAAAATTAAATAGAAAGGGGGGTCTTGTGATACATCATTTTGAAAATCCTGACTTATACTAGAATATAAAGTCAATATCTTCACCTACTACAAAATGGCGGAACATTCAATAATTTTCTGAAGACTAACACATTATTATCGATATTTCTAGAAATGTTCCTTTTTATCTGCCATATGGCAATTCCAACAACGCGATAAGGTTTCTTAAGTTATTTTTTGTTTATAAAAACGTTAAAAAATGTCAGTACGACAATGAACATCATTGTTCAGTTAGAATATTCTCATTTAGTTTTTGTTTTCACTAGTAGAAAGGTATCACGTCAACTATCTCTGAAATGGTCAATTCCCGTCCATTGGAAGAAAAAATTGAAGCGATTTTCATTTACGGTGCGACGCGTAACTTTCACGAGACCGAAAGGATTTTCAATGAACGTTTTCCAACCCGTCCTATCTATAGAAAACATTTGAGGGAACTCGTATCCAAATTCATAACTACCGGTAGTGAACATAACATTCCGGAAGAACAGCAAGTGCAAATAATTGGTGAGATGGTAGTAATTCTTCAACAGTATACTTATTCCGTTGCGAATGTTTGTGAGGTATATATAAGGTACTGATTCTCAAGCATAAACTGAAAAGTAATTAAAAAAATTTAATACAAAAAAGAGCACAACACCAAAACATATCGAGCGCAGAAAAGACTGGGTCAGAGGTCCTTCAATTATATTGCTTCACACTCATACTGTTGTCTACCTAAAAATATAAAAATGAGTCATAACATTCACCAATTCAAAAAGCTTATTGAATCCTGGTTGAGAAATTCACAAAGTAGTGAAAGTATCATAAATTCATTGTTAGACACAACGTAAGTTACATATGTATGTGTATATATGTGTGTGGGATAGGTACATGTGTGTGCATAGGTGTATATGTGTATATATGTGTATACAACAGATGAAATAAAATAATTCAGTAGTCACATAGTTACTTACCAATTGTTCCTTAACAATGTTTTCTCATTCAGCATCATACCTTTTTAATAAAAAGATTGGGAACTTCTAATATCTTCAACAAATATTATCCATTAGAAATATTAAAAATATTATCCATTGTTCATTTGAAATGCCTTGTTATCATAAATTCATTTTTTTAAATCAAGAGTAGAGAAATGTAAAAATCCCTACGCACGAATCTGTGAATGATTTCAGTAGGGCTTTCTTTCTTTCTTTATTTCTGTGTCAAAAATTGTAATTAGAAGATA